GAAATAATTAAGCGAACTTTTATTTTTTTATACACCTTCTACGATGAATGATGTCGCGTCGCCGTCATGACGGGTCACTTGATGAAGCCACATGCCAAGTCACGGGCTGAAGGCACGACCATGCAGAAAACCTACAGTACATTGCGATATTACAGTTGACGTATGCCCCGTTGTTTGCGCTCTTTCAAGAAAATGGCAGCAGTAGGTATAGCACTGTGATGAGCTCTCCGGTGGTGCTTGTTATTTGAAGATCATATATGCAGACTAGCATGTATACTGTGTGCCACCACGACGTCAACTACCATGTTTACCACCACGCCGGGTCATTTCGTGCGCCACTGTCAGCCTTTCTCAACGTTTCTTTTTTGCTGTAAATTTTAAGAGACTTATTTTACATTATGTGAAATAAATAGCCGTTGAGACTCTAAGGCGTCCAAGAACCTATTTTAGTTTAAGCAAGATAATAATAACAATATTAATTATAATAATAAACAGACACGCAAAGAGTGCGTACTTGTACGAATAGAGTTTCTTACACTTACCTGTATAGAGGGAAAACTGGCACTGCTAGCCTGTTGGACGCTTGTGAACGCTGGTATATGTGAGATCCAGACTTGGCTCTGATTTGCATCGTTCACGAAAAGTCTGGACACCTTAAAATATGCGTCTTTTTTCCACGCAATTCTTGCGTCCGAATGGTTGATTTCCTACTGAAGGAGCCTGTAGAAGCTATTTCGTTTTCTGATCATTGCACAGAAACGAGTTTTATTTCACTTTCAAAACTGCTGCTTCGATATGCAATTATACAAAGTGCAAAAAGAAGTAACAAATAACTGCTAAGCTTTGTAGGCAGACTACAAAGCCAGCGTTTACTTTGCCACTGTTTATCATATCTTTCGCCGTTTGGTTATGTGGTAATGTTGGGTGGTTATTCATTGTTTTATTGTAGTGTATATAATGTGCGTGAATGCGATGCGGTTCTAAAAGTTTTTTAAAGAGGAGTTTTATTTGCGCAGTGATATTCGCTTTTTAGCCGAAGCCCCGCTCAACATCAGCCAACACAAGCCTCACATACACATGCACATACCGTCATTCCCGTCGCGGCAAGGGCCGTCCTTAAGAAATTCGTGTAGACGGTGCCACCACATTCCCCTCCAAGTATTATTTTGAGAAACTCCTATATGCTTCTATGGCTCTCACGTCACATTTTTGATAATCGTAGTCGTTGTCAACATCTTCGTCATCAACCTAATCAAGGATGTTTCGTGACAAATGCCTCTTTTTAGAGATCTCGAAATATCCGCGCTCCACGATATCGACCAAACATCCGAGGAAGCGCTAAGCTCACCCCTCCATATCCCTTCTTTCTGTCCACTGTCCTTTCGGAGGCTTTAACACACCATTATTTGCTAAGTACACTTATCGCGCAGGCTTTTAGCGTTTCAAGTGTTTCACATCTATTAGTTGCATACAGCATTAACAAGGCCAAAGAAAGCTTATTTTTCGAGCCTTATGCGCAAGTGGGTATTGATGATAACTGGCGCATCACCTGAACGTGCTTAGCCTTACCGGCGCTTCAGTTGAATCATGCGTGTTTCATATTGGGTGTCACAAATTAGGTGAAAGAAGGAAATAAATAAAGAAAGAAAAAAGAAGCAAGCAAGCAAGCAAATAAAAAAGAAAGAAAGAAAGAAAGAAATAAAGGAAGGTGTACATTATTGCAAAAAGTTGATTCATGCGCAAAAGTCGGCTCGTGCGGGTAGCTGTTGCCATGGCCTCGCCAACCTCCTTGGGCCTCGCAACGCTACAACTTCCACGAACTGATAGTTTGCGCACGCGTGAGTTACGATGGCCTGTTGCTGTGCTATCCTGTTTTGAAGCTTGTTATAACTGACAGATTTATATGGCTGTGTTGTACACGCAAAATCCGGTGCTGGCGAACCGTTTTTGTCTGTCGCCGTTTTCCACGTACTGATGCTCTCTCGATCGTGCCGTGGGCTTGTCGGTGATCAACCGTTTCTGATAATGGTAATCTGATCTTCCATCAAGATCACCTGTCATTTCACGTTGGCATATTTTCATTGTTGCCTGGGATATGAACGGATGACCATCGTTGTTACCTTAAGCACAACTGAAGTGTAGCGTTGTTAAGCACGAGGACCAAGGGTCCAATTCCTGGCTTGGAGGAAAGAACATTGATTGATTGATTGATATGTGGGGTTTAACGTCCCAAAACCACCATATGATTATGAGAGACGCTGTAGTGAAGGGCTCCAGAAATTTCGACCACCTGGGATGCTCTTCACAGACATTGCCATTTCAGTGCCGGCTTGCTTCGTTTCTAACCATTTTTTTAAGGTGCACACGTTCGGGGTGGTAAACCGAACACCCGCTTCTGATTACCCTGTTTTCATTTCCCTTACAGCGATGCAAGTTGCGTAGTTATCAAGAAAGATTACTTTCGGGTGTGAGGAACAATGCGCGTCACTGATGAACTGCGATAGTCACTATAAACGGGAGTCGTTCTAGTTGAGGCAGTAGCAATTCATACGCGACTTTTCTATTGCTTCAGTATAAGCAAATAAATAATTGACACATTAAATCGCAGGTTAATCGATTACATTTAGTGATTCATCTACCCCTTTCGTAAAACTCTGACTAGTAAGTGTAATGACATGTATTTTTCACTGAAATTTAAAGAAAAGAAGGACATTATGAGAGAAAGAAGGGGAAAAATGGGAGGATAAGCAGCTTACGGAAACAGCGGAGGAGTGCTTGACCAAGCGCTCTGCTAGCTTCGGCTGCAGCCAGCTGAGATTGTGTCTGGATAGAACCTCTCAACGCCCAGGTCCATGTTGGATAAATGTACCTTCCATTGCGTCGCTGTGGAATCCTGGAATTGATTCCTCTTGGTTTTCGCACGCGATTCCAGGGTGTATGCATGTGCCTATGGGAACCCCGCCTCAACAACAGGCGTCTTTCTCCGGAAATTTTTAACATGGCGTGTGAAGAATATTATTTCTGCTGTAATCGGTTGCTTATTTTTTTGCAACGGGTATAGGTGTGTTGATGCATGTCCTCGTGATACCTTGCCACTCTGCAACGACTCCCGCTGTAGTAGCACTGCCAAATAAAGATAAGTTAAATCAGTTGGGTAGAAAGCTGTACTAGTTAGTGACTAATTACAGAATATGGGTAGAAAAGCTACACGCGAAGTAAAAACAAAAGTGAAACAACTGACAGCATTCATTCTGTGCTATTATTCATTCGTCAATTTCTTTTGCGCGCTTCTGTTTTTAACAGTGAAAATAATGATGTATATGATATAGTGCTTGTCATTAAGTGGTGGTCACATTAGTACCTCCATTTCTTGTCCGGCGACTTCTTGCTCGGGGTGTATGTGAACCGGTAACATATATCACCAAAAAAAAAAAACGAAGGAAAAATATTCTGCCAGGAATATTTGCCTATAGTATATATCCGCAATACTTTTCTGTATGGCGCCTTATTTTTCACCTGCAAAATACCACCGTAATAAGTGGAATTCTAGAAAAGTACGGCTGACTCGAAGAACCACCACTAATGATTTCTGCAACAATTTCTTGTTTTGTTTCTCTAGTCGGTGCTGGGCGATATAGATAACGTTCGTGTTGATGCAGACGTGCGTGATCAGGGCAGTTCAAAAAAGTGGCAGGAACAAAATTGAGCTGCGCACATGCCATAAGCTTTCTTTAGCAGCTCACTGTAGAGGTTGCCAACGTACGTACTATTACGTGACGAGGCTGTGGACGTGTACTGTGACGAGAAGTACCTTCAATACTTTCGTGTATCAAGATTGGAATATATCTACATCCACAAAGCCGCAAATAATATTTGAACCGGGAAAGAAAATGTACTATTCAGAACAAAGATGTCAGGTCCACAGATGTGTATATGTAGCACTTATCTAAATGAAACCCAAATTATATCTTCATTTTTTTTCTATACTTACATTTGCTCATGTGCCAATTGACGTCTCCTACTGAGCATATTCAGTCGCGTCTGTGCTGTAAGTGCAGCTCGACTTCTTGCAGAAGATTTCTTGTGAGCATCAACATAATCATAGGGTAGTCATATTCCTTGTGTAGATTATGTCATGATACGTGGATGTCGCAGTTGGAATAATGGCGACTGTCCAACTCGATCCAGATCGAGGTGTCGCGGCATCGCAAATCTGCGTTGCACGACCTCAATTATGCGTTTCAAGAAATGCTGGTGGCAGCTAAACGAATTCATTTCTGCTGAAAAGTACGATTTGTGACTGTGCTTATTAGAACTGAAAGAGCTCTGACCAACTTACCTCTCGAAGGCATTCCAAAGTCACAAATCCCAGGAAGTCAAGTACACAGCTACAAATATCTGCAATGGTGGCTTCTGCCAACCCCGCGTATCCCACATAAAAAATAACATTGAACTAACTGCTTGTTGTCCTGGCGTAGTCTGTTTCCCGTGGTGTGATTCTCGCTGACTTAGGTTGATGCACGTGCACGTGTTGAGGCGGTGTGACGGTAAAGTAGTCAGCCTGATGACGCAGTGGAAGCTCTGAGCTCAAGGAACTCGATTTTTTCGTGGCAGTAAACTAAACCACCGTAGTATTGTTCCCGCTTGAAGATGACCGCATTGCTGTGGTGACGTGTCTCTTGGTTCTTGCGCCTCTTCCGTACGCAGGACCTATCATCAGCAGCAGCATCGTGAAGACCTTGGGATTTCAAGCGTAAGTGGAGCGCTCGTTGCGGGCCGTGATGGGCCGATGGTGAGCTCCCCTCTCGCAGGTTGCTCTACCTGACGGCCTCGGTGTGCTTCGTGTACTCGCCGGTGATGTTCATGCTAAAGAACCCTCCGGGCCGCCAGGAGAACCAGTCCCTGCTGCTTCGCAGTGGCTCTTCGGACGTCCGCTACATGAGCTATGCCAACGAGGACGACTCCCCGGAGCACAAAGAACAGCGCTGAAAGCAGAGATTTAATAAAGGGCTCACGCGTTGGCCGGCTTGGACCACGCGGCCGCGGCCGGCGTCGTTGGCTTGACGCCTCTACTGTTCACTGTCGTCTGCTTGTCCGTTCGCGCGACGGGCTCTTGCACGTTCGCATTGGGTGGCTCCTCAATCTTTGTCATGCGCGACGCGCGCAGGGCAGCCATATACACGCTGTGGCTGATTTTCAAAAAGATCACGTACGACAGCGGCGTGACCGTGTAGTCCGGCACGAAAGTGCCCCTCTCGGAGGTGAGAACGGGCAAGCCGAAGTAGGAGAAGGGCCCGGCCTCGAACACCAGGTTCTCCTTGCCAACCGTGACGCGTACGCGTCCCTCGAGGACGACGGTAAAGTAGTCGCACAGCTTGCCGGCATCGAAGATGTTCTTGCCGGTCGACGGCCGGATCGTGAAGAAAATGTTCTGCGCCATGAGACGGCGCAGCACAGGGGGAGTCACAAACTCGGAAGTGAAGGCGCGCACGGCCGTGCTCAGGAACTGGAAGGTGGCGAAAGCCAGCTGGGACGAGACCACGTTCTTGCCCTGCTGGCCACTGCCGATCTTGAGGAAGTCACTGAAGTCCTGCAGCAGCTGAGCGTCCTTGCGCCGCTGCTTGCGCCGGTTGTCGGCTGTAAAGAGATGGTCGCTGTCAAGTCCCGTAACTCGGCAATGTATTGTCACAGTTGAAGAGTAAGCACAAATGGGAGTGCATTAAAGTACACATCGCGCATCTGATTACAGCGTGGAAAAAGGACAACAGCGAGACATGAGCAAAATAGGCTGCCTAAGCCGCTACACTAACTTTAATTTAACTCTGCCGTAGCGTGACACAGTAATGATCAATTTATTGAGAAAATGTCGCTCACAGCCAACTTCAACAATGATCTTCAATATAGCTTCGTGAGAAACAAATATGCAGGTCATTGAACGCTGAACTAGCCTGAGCAATTTTAGTCACGTTAAAATCAAGGTGCAAAATTTTATAGTAAAAGTTGAAAGATGATATTTTAATTAGACTTTCAGTTTCTGATAGAAAAAAAAACTGCAGTTTAGCTCGGCTAGACCCGATGATGCTAGCGAAATCGTGTTTTTACTTGGTTATACTTGCTCCCTGTCGTAGATGAAGCACAGTCTGTAAACAGAACTATATAAGGCTAGTCGAACGTTCTATACAATGGGTGCCTCGCAGTGGAACGCGAAGCGTCCATTGTCGCCCCTCAAACTCGTCACTACCGTTTTTCCGCATCCTTCTCCCGACGTTTAGCTCGACGAAGTTTTCGTTCTATTCTAGTTTCAGCCTGCCATTTTGCGCCCTTGTACGGGCATTTCTGCTTTAACTCGTTCGCAAGTCGAACGACATGCAGGATGGTCAGAAGCAGCTTGCCGCCACTGCTGCTGCGACTGCGCAGACGGCAGCGGCACAGATGGGCCAGTGTCGCCGCTCCATACTTCCATCGCACGGTCATATAGCAAAACGAGCACAATGGCTGCAGCCCGATAGTGCGGCGTGGCAGTAAGCGGCGAGTCACGTGATTGTCACGAGGACAGCCTGTAGTTTACTTGCCTAGCAGTCGATGGGTCCACTGAACGTACTCTGTGCGCATGCGCTTGCCATCGCCTTGTTTGCAACTTAGCTCCGTCATAGATGGCGCTGATAAACACAAATGTCACCGTTCGTGCATGCTAAAGATTTGAGCGGATAAACACGCTTAGCACGCTATATTCCATGTTTGGATTTAAATATAGTGGCTAGATATCTGTATCTTCTACTGTGCGGTCATCGTATTGAGTTCTGACAGACAGACAGACAGACAGGCAAAAACGAGGCTGCTTAGACGAAGAATGCTGTCGCATGAACATACTGGAAACTGCCTTTTTAGAAGCCGAACCACCCAGTTTACTACCTATAAGTTTACAAATGTAGCACTGACGACATGTTTAAAAAAACTTTATTCAATATATTCAATACAGTAATAATATACAGTGAAACAAAAAGCGTTTAATACAGATGGAGGTACCAAATTGAAAACTGTCAGGGGGACTTCCTGTTGCACAACAGTTGGACGGCACCCCGCCACACCGGAAATGTTCGGGACCATGCCAACAGCGTTTCTCCACAAGTTATAGCGACAAATTTTGACGTGCTGTGGATAATTATGTTAGCTATAAATTAATTTTAATTCGTTACAAACATTAAACTGATGCTGGTACAGGATGATGCTTGAGTGCATTTCATAGTGGACTTCATTTAAAAAATGGATAGTCTACACCATCAACAATACTGCGCATTTTGAATATAGGTTGGCTCTCCCTACTAAAGTGCTTTAGTTGCTTAAGTTACTTTACGCAGGGATGACAATAAATAAAAAAAAAGAATTGCCTTAGCGAGGGTCTTAATACTTGAATCATTATTTTAAATTCATTATATACTATATTACTTTATTTAGGAGGGCTCGAGCCTACGATAGAGCAGATAAAACTTCCGGGGAGAAAAACGACATAAAAAAGCACTGATTGCCGTTAAGCACATTACTCCCTTCATTCGCGCTGCATTGGGGTTTTTCCGTGTTTCCAAAGATGCTCTCAAGAGACGCATAAAAATGGCGGAATCTTGAAGCCAATTCGTTCAAAAACAGGTCTTGGGGTGGATATTTAATTGCTTCTCCAATACCATATTTGAAAAAAAAAGCAAGTGCTAGAAAATATGAACCTAGCACAGTTTTTATATTCATTGCTTCACAAAGTAAGTCGAACAAACTTAAAAGCCATTAAACACCTGAGCAGTTCTGCATCAAAATGGCAAAAAGAGGTGAAAACGATACGTCGAAACATATCTAGCCTTCAATTGTTCAATGAACCATTGAGGTGCACGCGTCAACAAAAGACAACATTAGCACAAATAAAACCGGCGGTGTTTCATCTACTAGGAGTTTTTTTTAAAAAGTTTTCGTCTACTAGCACAACACCGCGTTTTGTTTAGATTCAATGCGTGGAGTCCAAGGACTGGGCTTCTTAAATCTGCGTAAGGGCCCACAGAGGGAAGTTCAAGTCTTTCTACTGCAAAAACGGAAGGATTGGATTTTTTTTCGCACTGTCTCGTTTTGCCTCAAGCAGTGTCTCGTTTTGCCCCGCAAATTGGGGCAAAGTGATCCATCTGGAGCATATTTTTATTTATTATTAAAATAATGCCTTGAACGGTGGTAACATCGCAATATTTATGCAGCACATATACCTTGTACTCAAAGGAAAGTTTCTGCATTGGAGCTTACGTGTAACGAGTAAAATAAAAATAAATATTCCCTGTTAATTTTTTTTCGCATTTTACCCCACCCTACATTCAATATGAATTAAAAAAAACCGTTGCTAAACTTCAACTGCTTCAAAAATCAAAGTCGGAAGTGTGAAAAATGCACAAGCGCACCATAGTGACATCACTAAATCACATAAAAATTAAAACATTGTTGAAAATTACTGTAAAAAAAAACGAAATATATGCGAGAATCATCTTCGACACTAGCACCTTCGAGAGGGATAAGGGTATGAACACGAAGCAGCAGCTCGTTAAGTCTCCACGTCGCTCCCTGAATTGTGCCTAAACGCACAGTATTTGTCAATGGGAGTGCTGTTGAGGGCGGGTATAGTTTTCAACGAGTCCGATTTGCAATTTTAATGTGCATGCGATATGACAGCGGGCGCTTTCATGCAATTGATTGATATGCGGGGTTTAACGTCCAAAACCACCATACGGTTATGAGAGATGCCGTAGTGGAGGGCTCCGGAAATTTCGACCACCTGGGGTTCTTTAGCTTTCATGCGAGCTTAGAGTGCAGGTCTGCGACGTTTCGAACTACATTAGTGCAGTAAATTGGATATCCACGTGAAGGAATCCTCCCTGACAGTCTTAAGATTGAGCAGGTAGTAAGCTCCTATAGGTTTCGACTGAAGTTGCAAAGCGGTCTTGTTGCTGCGGAATTTCTGAATTATACGGCAGCGCAAATAAACCAGGACACAAGAAAGGCCCCACGAAGTCACTGTATGCGTGCTTGTCTCAGTGTGCCTCTCTTTTTTCCTCGTTTATTTGCGCTACCACACACTTGGAAAGCTCCTAGATATTTTGATCACCACATCTGCTTGCATCCGTCCGCGTGACCGCCCGCTTGGCCTCTAGGAAAAAAAATTAATGCGTAAACGTCAAGTTCCGCTCTCTCCAAAGCTCACACAAGAAGTGATTGTATGAGAAAAGGAAGTAGTAACACTGTAGTCACTTGTCCCGAATTTCTACTATTATGTGGTATAAGATAATTGAAACGTGGTTTTCAAAGCTGTAAAAAGATGTGCGCCCATTTGGCAGGACCTATACAGTCGTGTGCGTGAACTAATTCCGAATATGGTCGCTAAGATGGGGCCGTATCTGCATTTTGCTACGCTGCGTTTACTTATTTGTGACTGTTTCAGAACCAGGAAAACAGGAATAGCAACTCACTTAGCACGTCGGTTTCGTCGATGATCTCTGACTGGATGATCTCTTCAATGACGTCCTCGAGGGTCACGAGGCCCGTCACGTGGTAAGAGGGGTCGCGGTTTTCAGCCTGCACCAGCTGTCGCACGAATGCCATGTGCGAGTGGCCCTTCTTGAACTCGCGCAGCAGCGAGTCGAGGGTCTCGTCCTCGAATACGAAGCTCAATGGGTGCTTGTAGAAGCTGCACACCGTGGCCAGTGGAATGGCGTCATCGGGGTCGACGAACGTCAAGTCCTTGGTGTTGAGGAGGGACACTATGTTCTGCTTGGTGTCTTCATAGACGGGAATGCGCGTGTAGCCGCGCTTTACGATTTCACTCATGGTCTCAAAGTCGAGCACAGCGTCGTACGGGAGCATGTACACGTCTTCGATGCGCGTCATAATGTCAGCTGCCGTTTTCTTCGTCAGCTCCAGAGCACCGAAGATGATGTTCAGTTCTTCGTTCTCAAGTTGCGCGTAATCCTTGGTGATTCGAAGATATTCGGTGAGTTTCTCGCGGTCAAAGACATTACCGATCTCCTCTCCAAGCACAAAGTCGAGCAGCTTGGATATTGGCCATGACAAAGGAAACGTGATTATCATAAACAATTTGGTTATCAGTATTGTCCGCGCACCAATGGCGAGTCCATATCTAGAGCAGATGGCCTGCGGAATGATCTCTCCCATCAAAACAATGCCTAATGTGGACAGGAGTACTGCCCCCGGTCCTGAGCTCAGCATGCCGTCCAGGAGAATGGTGAAGCTACTATTGACGCACACATTGCCCAGCACCAGCGTGCAGAGCAAGTAGTTTCCGCGGCGCCGCAGCGGCAGTATTTTTCGCGCGTAGTCGCGTTCCTCGGGAGTGCCGCACGACTCAATCACTTGTAGCTCAGTCTTGTCGAGTGCCATCAGGCCGAGCGTCAGTCCGCTGAAGAGGCCGGACCAGACGAGTAGCATGACGATGAGCACCAGGTTGATCCACACGGGAACCAGCAGGGTCTCGCCCGCTATGGTGACGAGCGGGTGGCCGCCTTGGTGCACCCAGCGACCGGAGAATGACACGCAGAGGTAGTACTCGGCCGCACGGGGAAGCTTGAGGCTGATGCGCGCCGCGAGGCCACCGTGGAGCGGTTGCAGCTCCCACGTGTCGAGGAGAGCGTGCTCGCGGCACAGGACTCCACGGGTCGCCCTCTCAGTCGTAAGCGTGATGCGCGTGCGCTCCGTAAAGTTGAAACCCAGCAGCAGGAGCGGCACCTCCTCGCCCACAGGCAGCACCATGTAGCCATCTTTGTTGGTGGTAGCCGCCATCTCGCCGCCGCCGCCACCACGCACGCCGGAAACCACGGCCACGTCCAGGTCACCTGTGCTGCGAAGCCGCGCTTGAATGAACGCCATCTGATGCCTTACTGTGGCTTACTTACGCAGTCAAGCTGACAGCAGAGCCCTGGTGAATCCACTTCTCGCCCTTTCGCAGGCATAGGAACCAGCGGCCTTGCGACGGCAGTACTACCGTGGCGGAACCGTTCTCGCCCGTGGAGAATGGCGGCAGCGCGGGCTCCTGATCGCAGCTGCTTCCACGCTCGGCGTTGAGTGGCGTGAAACTTACTGCCTCATAGTCCAGATCCGAGCCGAGAAAAAGTAGCGAGGTCTGCTTACCCACGGGCACCGGCTCATCGCTGCGCCAGCTGCCGTCACGTCCCAGCACGAGCACGCCGTCAATAGTGGCGACCACAGCGGCCGCCGCCGCTGCGCATAGTACCACCAGCAGAGCGCTGGCCGCCACCATAGGGGCGCGCTCATCCCATCGCCGTCGCTCACGGACGCGTCTCTTGGTCTGCCGGGCGCGCCGGCTGGCTGGGATGCCGTGGCACCACCTGCGCAAGGAACCACAATGAAGCACCCATTTCGCCACACATGCTCACATCACCGTACCGCCATTCAGCCCGGCGCCCTTTCGAAAAGGGTCGTCGTTGCTCTTCAGGATCTGCTGAGGATGTTCTTGTTCGTTATTAGCCATGACGCACACCCACTGCGGGTGACAGGCCAAGAATGGAGTGGTTTTATGAAATAGCATGTAGTTTCAGAATAATGAATGTTTTATAATAGACAGATTACAGAGTACATAGGAATTTACGGTGCTCGATCTAATGTACATATTTGTTTGAAAAGAAACAAGAAGAAGAACAAAACGAAGCCATCTTTTTTAAAAAGTAAAAAGGTGATAAAATAAACCAATACCCTTATTTCTTGTTCTTGTTCACCTATTGCCCATGGCGCATACGCACTGTGAGGGATTGGCCAATAATTGGGTGGTTTTATAAAATATTGTGCAGTTTTAAAATAATAGATATTATATAATAGAAAGATTACCGATGACTTGGGAAATGGTGGTGCTTCATTTAATGCATTTAAATATTTAAATAATGAAACAAATTTATTCTTAAAATGGAGCAATACTCTGATTTTTATATGTATATAATGTTGTAGACACGTTAGGCTAATAATAAAGATTGAGTAATCAACCTATTAGTTTGATTAGTACAGTCCTGGACGGCCGCGCATACTGTCGCACTGGAGAACCCAGAAATAGAAGCTTTAAAAGATGAAATGACAGGCACTGATAAATACATACCAATCACCCATAAAGGTATTTCTAAAGAGGTTTTGATTTTTATGGTAAACCATCTGCAGGTCAAAAAGAAATGATCTATTTTTTTTAGTTCACCACAGAACGCGCATAGTGGCGAAGGCGCCTGAGAAGACCTGTGTTTGTAGAAATTTAGATTTGGCCTGGATGCCATGGCTCCACCGTTATCTTCTTCGGTTTTAATATGTAATTATAATTTACGGTACGTACACTATAACAACAACAACAACAACAACAACAACAACAACAACAACAACAACAACAACAACAACAACAACAACAACAACAACAACAACAACAACAACAACAAAACAGAACTGCGAATGACGGACCTAAAAGTTATAGGGACATTTTCCAGGAATCGCAGGACTGCAGCATTGAAAAACGCATGCGGCCAACCATAACATTCTTATTTCGACAAAAGGGGAAAGCGAAGTTGACCAAGCCAGCATTTCATACTGGTTTACCAAGGTCAAGTTTATTTGCAGGGCGAATAGTTTATTGCAGGGCGAATAGTTTTTTTCCCGGGTCACGCTACATTAAATTGAAGTCAAACTCGTGCACCATTTGGTTTCAAATCATCGCTTATCAATTTCCGACATCATGCGACCTCATTTTTCAAGGTTTCGGCAAACACATCTCACTTTGCGCCACATCGTCAAGGATCTTGACTGGACTTGCCTTGGCTTCTCACTTTATTCTCGGCCGCTACTGAATGTGCTTCCCTTTAGCCTCCATTTTACACAATACGGCAAAACAAGAAATTTCACAGAAACTCGAGAATATATCTTCCAGGGCGATGTGAGGGGACGCTATTAAAATGCGCTGTCGGGTGGTATGCTTAGAAACGACGACAACAGATAAACGGAGACCTGTGTTTTGTATACCGAGTGCCAAAGGAAGAAAACAAAAACATATTCTGTTGTGGCAGAGCTAAATGTGAAGGGAGGAGGTGGCAGAGAATTAGCAGTGTAACGTCGGTCGGCGCAGGAACGGACCAACTGAAGGTCCGTGTGAAAATGAATGGACACGAGACGCTGCTTGTAATAAGAGCGCATGAGTAACACGGGATGGTTGTGCAGTGCATGCTTTATGTCAACAGAAATCTTGGGCTGCCGAAGATAACACGAGACAGTGCGATGTTTTGTCACCGCTTCTCACACAGCGCGCATCGGTAACGAACGCGCAGCGTCGCGACCGTCCTCAGCCTCAGCGGTGTAGTTCGAGAAATATGACAAGGAAGCGCGTGGTTTGCCTTGTGTACGCGCAGCTGCGCATAGCTGGCGAGACGGAGCGCCCACCTTGAGCGTTGCGAGATCGGGTGTCACCAGAGCGTCACGAGTTTATCTGGACCCAGCGCCAGGTGGGTGCATTCTTGCCTTAGATACATGCAGCAGCGTCGTGGTATGGCTGCGTTAGTACACCTTCTGAATTCGTGAAGCTTTTTTGTTTTGTCTTGCAAGTTGTGACAGTGGAAACACCCTGGCACCCGCGAGGGCAATGAAATTTGGCCCTCGAAAGTGTGCCGATCGTCTTAACAACAGTGTCCACGATCATCACATTCGGCCCTCGAAAGTGGGCGTGATCCTAACAGTGCCGTAGGGTGCCGAAGCCTCGCACACAATCTCGTGTAGTAGGTTGTGAAGCAACCGATGCACTTCTACGGCTATATAGACGGTTTTGGTGTTTGTAAACAAACCGGCTCGTGCCGAACGGCGTACCCCGCTAGACTTCCGGTGCGGCACTTCCAGCAATACTTTTTCGATGGTTCCGGCGGTGTCTTCGTGGTGTGTGTGAATTTTCTGCTCTATTATTTCTGGCGCATTCCTTAGGGTGTGTTTGGAGCAACGTCTTGCGGCTACATAAAGGGGCTCGACGTAGCACAAGGCAGGCACAGGTGCGGCCACTTCTGCAGGTAACGCGGCTCGCGTGGCCGACGGGCGCCGCGCAAGATATCCGTCATGGCCTTCTGATGAGCGCGGCCCCCTGCTCCATTTTACATTTGATAGTGGTCGTGCCTATACAGACAGAAAATGCATAAATTGCAGGACAAGTTTGTCGGAGAACTTGAATGAACCGATTCGATCGGCATGGCAACAATGTGGATGCGCTTTGAAGACCCGGACTGGGAATTGACAGCGCACACATGTCTTTTCCCTGTCCACGTCTTCAAAGCGCACCCGCATCGTCGATGTGCAGGAGAAAAGTGAAGTTGTTCAATTCAGCTTTTCGACTAGAACTGAAAACCTTCCTCCTGTTGAACCCCGAACATATCTGTATTTTCGTCTAAGCACACAACCTCGAGATAAAACACCTATTTCTGCACCTGTCTCACACCGGGTAATTATTAAAGAGATCAGCGGCGATCGGAACCGCTCGCAATCCGAAGTGTTCGTGTGACTGAGAAATTTTAAAATTTACTGATGTGATGGCGCAAACTGCAGCAGAAGGGTCACGCGAACTATTATGTTTTACTCACGAGTAAGCTATTCATGAACCAAATTTTCAAGTTGAACCTACCTAAGCCGGACGTTCATCTTCACACCCAAAAGATATATGAGCTTAAATGCGGTGATGTTCATTAGCGGCAGAAATACAAACGATGAGTCATTTGCTCGCACAGATGAAAGCCGACTCGCCGACGTCGCTTTTGAAAAAATCAAATGCAACAACAACGAAACGTGGACACCGTGACGTACGCTGTGCGGCGATTTTTGTTAAGCGCGGATACTTTGTTTCGAACAGAACGCATCATTGATATAGCTCAAACTATAAACTAAACACCGTTGCGATGGATTTTCAGTGTTAGCTTCCACGTTTTGCGACCCATTTACCGCGTCAGTACACTTATCTGCCACGGATGGAAGACGAGAGCGACTGATGTGTTCCCGGTAACGGGGGCCTTCGACTAGTCCAACGTCTGAATATCGCCTCTGTGCCGTTAGTCTGCGCTGAGCTTTACATTACCTTTGATGAAATCGGCAGAACAAACCTACGCGCTCTTGGTGGGAATGCAGCTTTCTCGCGTGATCGCTGCAATGCAGGCACTTTTTCTATCGTCATCGGTCAGTAAACGAAAAGTTTTCACTAGTATATAAAATTAACCCAGGCATGTAGACTGCATCCTGGCTTGACACAGCTGTGCTCGAGTTGCCAGCGCTTCATTGAAATCATTTTATCCGCATAAAACATCGGAACACAAGCAGCCGCGGCCAGCAACAAACTCCAAAACCACGCAAAAACAAGCTACACCGAATGTTTCCAGGGGTGGTTTCCTGGTGAACGCACAGTGTTGCCAGAGACCGGCAGGCTCTGGTGAAACCGTCTATAGCTTGGTTTCCCGGATTAATGACCAGACAGCGGTGCTCCTTCACGTTGGCTTCGTTTGCTCCCAACATTTCTTTCACAGCAACGCCGTTCTTAAATGTCATGACCTATACGGGCCTCATCTTATACGCCGCTAGTGCAATCATGTCAAAAGTAACTTCAAAGTTGCCAGCATGTCCCTGAAGTGTTCCACATAATATGGCCTTGCACTCACATCGGCATGTTAAAACAATGTGCTCGAAACAACTCGTCCTGTAGGTAGCTGTGGCAAAAGCACCTGATGATTGGTTGAGTACTTGAGAGTTGTTCTGATGCCGCGGCCCTGGTTGGCCGGTGAAGCCACCCCGTTGATAAAGAAGCACATGTCACCCACGTTCGCCTACTTCGGTGGCCGGAAGTGGAATTCCCTAAGCTAGCCGGG